TTATTGAAACCAATGATTTAATTAAGCAGCAAACGTATGCTGCTTAATTAAAACATTGGTTTCAATAAAAGATATCAAAAATTACAATCTTCTTTGACTTGAGATCCTCTTGCTATTCCATCGTTTTGATATTGAAAAGTTGAATATTCTAAAGAAATGTTTTAAGTTTTTTACATAAATTTAATAATTAATTTTTTTCATTGCCAGTATTTGCCAATAATTACATAGATATGCCTAATTATTAATGTAAGAATTATCGAATTAAATATGATGAAATGTAAATTTTAAATTTTATCTCAATTGTATTTTTTAATATTACATTTAATATTTTTAAGGCTAAATTGCGCGCATTTTAGTTACATAAAATTTGCAAGGAAATCTATGATAAGTAGTTATTGGCTGAGAAAGTGAGCACATTGCGAGTTTCCCGATAAATATTTTTATTTCACTTGCATATTTTTTACATTTATGTCAGCGATAGTGAATAAGTAACGACTGGTTTTTACAGTGAAGCCGCTCAAGGTGGAGATTTTAGGGAAGAATCAGATGCTATCGGCGGGGAAGACATATGACGTGAAATGTCAGAGTACCGGCTCGAAGCCGCCGGCGGTCCTAACCTGGTGGAAATCCTCGAAGCAGTTGAAGGGACTGAAGAAAAACGTGAGTAATGTCAAGATCCTTCTTCCTCCTTCCCGTTGCGCGTGGCAAAAACGTGCCGCGCTCGAACGAACCAAGCTGCCGCTTCGCGCTTAATTGCATCCTCCTTCTGCTTAACCACTGTTTCGAGATACGAGAAGTGTTCTCTCTCTTTCTCTCCCTTTCTCTCCCTTTCTCTCGATTACACAAATTTACTCTGCTTTATTACGTAGACTAACCTGGTTACTCTAATGACATAAGCCATTTCATTTAAGCACAAATATTTTCGTAACGGTAAAGGAAACGAATTATCATTAGCCTTACCCGAGCATGAAAGTACTGTTTCAAAGCATTGTTGAATCAAATGCAAATTATTATTTTGCCTCGTTCAACGTGGATCGCGATTGGAATCTGTATTTTTATAATTGCTATTTTGTTTCTGTTTTTATGTTACTTTATTTAACGGACACGCGATTCGTTTTATCAACATGTTGCTTAAACACACAGAGGCTTTCGTGATAAAACCTGAACCTGAACGAAGCGAACGAAGATTACTATCTCTATTGATTTGATTTTAAAAAAATACTGTTATTATTTCAGAGTATTGTTAATTTACTCGGGAACTATTATTGTTTTATTTTATATAACTCAGATTCCAATCAAAATCTTAATTTTTGCGGGTGCTATTCCTCGTATTACTTTTATGTAACTCTCGCGTCGCAATTCGTTCTATCAACGTCTCGAAATTGAAATCTTCGATTCGCCAACACCGCCGCGTACGCGCAAGCGGATCGGAAATCGCGGAGTTTCTCGATCGCGATAACACACATCCCGCCGCAATATCAATCACGCAAGAGTTCGTTCGCGGTGCTCGCAAAATCGACACGCGAGAAATCCGTCTCTTTTGCCGGCGTACGATTAAACGAAGAATAATAGGAAGAGCGGGGCTCAGGAATAACGGCGGAAATAACGACGTCGGAAGACGATGCTGCACCGCGCCGATCTTTGTCGCAAACGATGGAGAACCGTTTTCGAGAGAATCGATTCTCGCCGCGCTCTCCCACCCGCGATGGAGCGAAAATAAAAATGACAGTGTCTCGATACACGAAATACTGCTGGGAGCCCTTCGGCTGCGACGTAAATGGAAACTCGTGGAAATAAATTCGCTTTTATCTCGCGCAATTTCTACCCTCCCCGCGCCCGTCCTCCTTTCATTCCCCTTGCATTCAGTCCTCTTATATTTTCCTTCTTCATTTTTTGGCTCTTGAGCCAGTGCACCGTCTACTTTGAAAACTTCTCTGCTAATTGAGAAGATCAGAGAGAAGATTTGTCGTTAACTTTTAGGTTTTCGTTAATAGCATCACGAAATGCTGCGCACAAGCGATTCTTCTTTGCTTAATATTAAAATAATGATGAAAATATACACGAAATATTACATTTTTGTTGAAAATTTATAGTTAGTAAAGAATAAAATCATTAAAAATGCGAGAATAAAAAGTTGATTCAATGTCTAATTAAATAAGAATATACACGAAATATTAAATTTGTTGAAAATTTATGTTTAGTAAAGAATAAAATCGTAAAAATCGCGAGAGTAAAAAATCAATTTGATGTGTAATTAATGTGGCTCCAATTAGAAGCATTTAAAATATTCTTGCGGTATTCGGCGCGTGTATATTAATTTTACACATTTTTATTTCATTTGCGACACAAAAAGAAAAAGGGTAAGATACAAGCCGGACCTTATATCGGTTATCCCGTCAATATGTTGTGTGGGACGCGTTAACGGAGTTTTCCAATGTCGCTCGACCGCGAAAGTGCAGGAAGAAGCGAGGTCATTACGGCTCTCTCCGAAGATGGATCAGCTGGGAAGCCGAGAGCTCGTAGGATCAGGCGCGCGTAACGAGCCCGATGACAAAAAGCTCGTTCGACTTTTATACCGACACCACCGGAAAGATTAGGCCCCGTGCGCGCGCGCGCTATTATCCCGATAAAATTTACCGTTCCTTCCCCTTTCCGGAGACGGAAAGACGATGTTTACATAAATGGATTTCCGGTGAGGAACCAAAATGGAGAATCTGATGAGGTTGTTCCTTCGGCACGATTAAATGGGAGAGATGGGACGCGCCCCTTGTTTCTCGCTATTTATCCCTCCCTCCACAATAATTTGAAATTGCAGCCCGAGGCTATAGCCTGTATCATTTATGTCAACGGTTCTCAACCTTGTTTGCGAAGGCTTTCCCAAGGAAATTTCGCAATCGGAAGTTTCGCAATAGCATCCGCTTCAATTAAAACTTTTTGTACGAATTAATTAAAATAACGATTTGTTTCCTGATAGTTTTATATGCGCCATAATTTACAATACTTTCGGTTTATCTGTTTCATCTCAAACTCTCGTTAACAAATGCTGAATTTATGCCTGACTAATTACTGTTAAAATGATAAATGAGTTAATAATCTCATCAACTTGTAAAGATAAACTAATAATATGAAAAATTGCATTTCATGATATCGAAGATATAATTGACATAATCTTTAGACAAGAAATAATATCACCGGCCGTTCGATACGCGGCGCTACGCCGATGCACAAAATAATCTGGGCAGAATCAGGGCGGCTGACAGTTTCATTAGCACTCGTGCTCATCCTGTAATAATAACGCGCTGCGGCCAGGAACGGGAAATAATCGATTTCCATTAATAAAAGACGCTGTAAGCTACTTAGCGAGTAAGTGTGGCGAGGATACGCGCTGTAAGTTTTTGCACCGTAAATTGAATCCGAAAGTTTCGCCTGTGAAAACTGTGGCGAATCTCTCAAACTGTTCAGGAACAACATGATGTTCGTTGGCTCTCGCCGCGGCACAATAATAACCCGGTCGCACCGTCCGATAATTAATTGGATCATGGGAACTGTCCATTTGATAATTGCGTTAAGTCATTCCGCAAAATATTACCTCGCACGTGATTATTTCCGCGAAATTTTCTATCCTCTATTATACACCACTTGGCGTCATGAAGCTGACAGTAGCATCACGATTACATTTACATACACCAGTATTTACGTCAATTATTTTCGCGGTAAAACTGCAAGCTTTTTAGGTCAAATGTAGATCAACAGTTAACTCTCGTTACCGATTTTATACGGTCGTTTATTCGCTTCAACACGTAAATGCAGGATCGAGAATCGCGAGAAATGTGTTGGACAGTGACACGGGGAGAAATTCTGCCGCGTAAAGAGGAATGCTGGAAAAAAAATACCTAGTCGATAATACACGGCAGGCGTGATAGCGTGCCAGCGACAGAGCAGATCGTAATTCTCGACGTGTTCTGTCTTACGTATTACCGTGGAATTCGTTTTTCGCGTCGGTTGGCATAACTTCAAGCCACTCTCGGGCGAACGGATAATAATCTATACTGCTTCCCTTTGAATTTAATTCGACGCCAAAACCAGCAAGCGCGAATCGATCATCGCTCGACAGATTGATTGTGGAAAAAGTGCTTGCAATTATGTGTAAAGTGCGATATTTTATTTAATCGTAATTTATTGTCTGCATTACAAGAAAAAGATTTCAATTATAATATGCTATTATAGATGTATTGGTATTTCAATGAAAAGAAATAAAAAATTGCCAAATAGATATATTATTTAGCGATTTTTTATTTTCTACTATTTAAATATTAATATAAAATTAATACATTTTTATTAACGTTAAAATATATTAAATAGCGCAGTCTTAGAATAATTTTTTTTTTTTATTTAATTGGAACGGGATAAACTCTGTCAGAGCCTTAATGGCTTTCCGCGTTGTTGAGACGCGAATAATGGTGATTCCGTCACTCGTGATTCATTCGCACAATCGACTAATTTCTGGTTCAATTTCTTTTGAAAGACGTACATTCATCCGGCTTGGGTCGAAGGGTTTCGCGAATGAAAAAGCACTAAAGGTCCTTTTATCACAGATAGGGATTAAGCACGAGAGCTTATTACACCGAGAAGAGTGTTTCTCTAATTACATGTTGGCGCCATATGGCTCGTTCGTCGACTTTGACGATTTTTCCGGTGCTTAATTCCTTAACGCTCTTCTTGTCCGCGAAAAAAACTGGATCACTTGACGTCAGTGCAAACACGTTTAATATAAATGAATGAAGATCGTTTCATCAAATTCTGCTCGTAATAAACTATTTTTATAGTAATTTTTACGGCAATGAACCTTTGTGCAGCCGGTTCAGAGGGCGTGTGTGTTCAAACATTTCGCTGTAGCATCCATTTCGAACTCGTTGCCAAGCCGTTCCTTAAAGTATCTCTTAAAGGGGATCGACCCGGATATCGGGATAAGAGTCGGTGAAATCCTCGGGGATGAAACAGAGAGGCGGATAATCGTGAAGAAAGTTCCCCGTATGTCGGCCAGACTGCCTCGAAAGAAATCGACTGCCATCTTATAAATCTAGTTCGCCTGCCATCCTCGTCATCAGGGATGGGTTAAAGTCCTAACATCTTTGATCTTCTTCCCGCGGGAGATGCTACAGTGAAAGGTTTTCACGCAGATATTTTCCGCGGATTGGCGCGCGCGGCTTGGACTCTGCAAGTCTTCGACAATCGATAGCCTTGGCTCGAATCGCAGCCGATAACAATTCGTCGCTTGACTAGAATTGACTACAATTGTTTGTACTTAAATGTACAATGTGTTCACCGCGTCTCGTGATTATAAATTTTAATAAGCAGTAGTCTAAGAGAAGAGAGAGAGAGAGAGAGAGAGAGAGAGAGAGAGAGAGAGAGAGGAGTTTGTTTTGATGTTGGAATATAGGTTTCGATTTATAAATGACGAAATTATTTTCTTGTTCGGGAGAAATTTTCTGTAAAGAAAATCCTCCTCGACCGATATAATAATACACTTCCGGGAAAATCACATGTTGAAAATATGAGAAATATCCTTATTGTGAGACATTCGTGGAGGATTTTTATCTTACCCTAAGAAGGATTGGATTCCTCGTGCCGAAACGGTATTTTCCTCTCGATTATGTCGA